ACATGTAACAACAACAGCATACACATAGACCTCACCACATGGAATACAAAGAAATCATATTGACGACATCTGTTAAAAGAGATGTTGAAAAGCTCAATATTATCAGCCAAAACAAGGCCAATGTTTTGTGGTATAGACCATCAACTGCTCATATTCAAGTTCAAGCTAATGCTAAAGAAAATTTAAAACAAGTCTGTAAGAGTCAAACTATGACGTTGGACATATCCCACCTGGATTTATAAACTATCTGAAGAACAGAAGCAATCGACACTAATGATTGAAGAACAGAAGTTATGGAATGACATCAGGAACATTATACAGGAAGAAAGCTAAAGGTCATTTAAAAAGACAGGAGAGAAAGAAAAGGCCAAAATGGATGTCAGAAGAGGCACTGAAACTTATACTCCAGTGGAGCGATGCTAATGTGAAAGGAAGAAATGAGGAAATAAAATAAATGAACAGAAAATTTCAAAAGGTAGCTCACAAAGACATAGTGAAATATTATAATTAAATGTGCAAAGATCTAGAGTGAGAAAACCAAAAGGTAAGAACACAGCATTTCTCTAGTTAAAAGAACTGTAGAAAAAAATCCAAGCCTTGACTAGCAAAATATTGAATGATGCAGAAAACATCAAAAGAAGATACACAGAGTTACTGTACCAAGAAGAAATGATCGATGTTCAACCATTTCAAAGGGAGCAAATGTTCAAGAACCAAGGATACTGAAGGAAAAAAATCCAAGCGCCACTGAAAGTATTGGTGAAGACAAGGGTCCAGGAATTGAAAGAATACAAATCGAAATCTTTCAACAAATTGATGCACCACTGGAGATATTCACTCATTTAGGCCAAGAAATTTGTAAGACACCTACCTGGCCAACTGATTGGAAGAGATCCATATTTGTGTACATTTTTGCATCCATGGGAGATGACCCAGTAGAATGAGGAAATCATCAAATCGTATCATTAATATCCCATACAAGTTAAATTTTACTTTAGGTAATTAAAAAACTATTAAAACAGTACATTAACAGAAAATTGTCAGAAATTCAAGCTAAATTCAGAAGAGAATATGGAATCAGGGATATCATTACTGCTGTTTGATGGATCTTGGCTAATTGAATGCAGAGAATACCAGAAAGATCTTTACTTGTTCATTATGGACTATGCAAAGGCTTTCGAGTCTCTGAATCATGATAAACTATGGATAACATTGCAAAGAGTGGGTATTCCAGAACACTAAATTATGCTCCTAAAAAAACCTGTATATACATCAAGAAGTATTTGTTCGAACAGAACAAGAGAATACTAAATGATTATATCAGGAAACTGTGCACCAAGCTTGTATTCTTTCACCATACTTTTCAATCTGTAAATCTTGCAAATAATACTAGAAGTTTGATTATTTGAAGAAGAATGTGGCATCAGGATTGGAAAAAGATTAATTAACAACCTGCGATATAAAGATGATACAACCTTGCCTTCTGAAAAACAAAGTGGACTTAAAATACTTATTGATGAAGACCAAAGGTCATAACCTTTGGGTTGAATTGCACCTTAATGTAAAGAAAACAAAACTCATAGTATTTTTGGTTGAAGTTATTAAAGACTTCATTTTGCTCATATGCACAGTCAGCAAATATGAAAGCATCAGTCACAAAATCCAGCAAAGTGTTGTATTAAGCATATCTGTTGCATAAGACCTTTAAAGTGTTGAAGAGCAAAGATGATTGGTGCCTGACTCAAGCCATGGTATTTTTAATCGCCTCATATGCATGTGAAAGTTAGTAAGCAAAACCATAGAAGAATTGACACATTTGCATTATGGTATTGGAGAAATACATTAAAAGTACCATAGACGGCCAGAAGAATAAATCTGTGTTCAAAGACATATGGAATGGTCCTTAGAAACCAGAATGGCATGACTTCGTCTCTCATACTTTGGACATGTTATCAAGAAGGACCAGTCCCTGGAGAAGGACAGCATGCTTGGCAAAGTGGAGAGTCAACGAAAAGAGGAAGACTACAAAGAGACGGATTGACACATTCGCAGCAGCAATGGACTCAAGCGTAACAACAATTGTGAGGATGGTGCAGTACTGAGCAGTGTTTCCTTCTGTCACACATGGCATCACTATGAATCAAAACCAGCTCAAGGCCACCGAGCAACAGTGCCTGGTTCATAGTTGTTGTTGTTGTATTATTATTCTTAACCCTCCATTACCCAGCTTCCTATAAAGCATTACTTTTTGGTTCAAATGAAAAGCAACCAACTAAACGGATTGCCATCAAGCAGATAGACACTTATGGCAACACCTGTTGTATCAGAGTAGAACTGTAATCCTTAGATTGTCAATGGCTGTAATTTTAAAGAAATATCACAAGGTGGATGTTTTGATGATAAGTGCTGTTGAGTAGGTCCTGACTCATAGCTACCTATATAGGTTTCCTAGGAGTGACTGGTGAGTTTGAACTGCCAACCTTGCGGTTTAAACCAACCCGGAGGTCGAGTGCTTACCCTACAGTGCCAGCATTTACAGCATCAGGGATCTTTGTTGGTGTTGCTAAGTGCCGTTACGTTGATTCTGCCTCCTAGCAACTCTGTGAGTTTGGGGTTTCTGAGGAACGGCTACTGGGTTTGAACTGCCAACCTTTTGATTAGCAGTTCAGTGCTTTTCTGATAGCCCCACACCAGGACTCCCCAGGGACCTATGTTGTTGTTGTGAAGTGCCGTCGAGTCGATTCCAACCCATAGCGACCCTGTATAGGTTTCCAATGAGCAGCTGGTGAGCTTGAACACCCGACCTTGCAGATCAAACGGCTTTGCTGTCTGACGCATTAGCCCACAGCGCAATCAGGGACCTGTAGGGAACAAAAATTTACCTTTTTTTTTAGGACATGAGTTTAAATCACCAATGAAATGTAACTGAGTTCAAATTAATTCTGTCACATCTCCCAAGAAACCTGAGGACTTCTTAGATTAGTTCTTATGCATCATAGCCTTTGTGCCTCTTACTGGAGCGAGTCTTACTACTTTCAGTATCAGTTGATTCTTAGTAAGTAATCTAACAGGCCTACTTTTTTTAATATTTCAAAATGATAAAATGTTTAAGTATATATACTTATATATATACATATAGAGTGAGAACCTTAAGGCCAGCTGCTCCGCGGGAGAAAGATCAGGCTTTCTACTCCCGTAAAGATTTACACTCTTGGAAACCCTATACAGGGTCGCTATGGGTCGGAACCGACTCGACGGCACTTAACAACAACAACAACAAGAGAGAGAGAGAGAGAAACCAGTTGTCATTTGTAATTAACTGTTTAGGTATTTTTAAACCTTTTTTTTTTTTTTGTCTCCCCCACCCCCTCCTTAGATGATGTTGAAATACAAAGATAAGAAGTGGTACCAGTTCTGACAGCTGGAATCCAACTAAGTCCAACTTCAGCCAGAAGGAAAATCATTTTCCTCTTTTATTGTCTTGATTCATTTGGGAAAGGCACCGGGGAAGGGGCGTCCATCACTGGATGCTGTTCTTGCATAACACAACCCTGCACTGTTTTACCTCCATCGTCTGGCTCTGACTGAGGTGTGTCCACACACGCTCAAACTGGAATACGTGGCGTGGGCCCACTGTGAGCTGACGGTTTGCCAGCTGAGCAGGCCACACGTGACCGATGAGGAAGCCAGGGGGGGATGTGGAGGAGATATGGCAGACATTGTTCCTGGAACTTTCCTGTATTAGACGTTCAGATGCCAAAAGATTCTACGCCGTTGTATCAGCCATCAAGTGTTTGACCTCGGGGGAGAGGCAATAAGTCACACGTCCTGAAGCTGGAGGAGTGATATTTGTGTCGTTAAACTGGATTCTTAACAGCCGTCTGGGACTTTTCCCTTCCTGAAGCTGAGTGCTCCTCGGTATCAATAGTGATAAAGAAACAAACTGCTTGTTCCCATCTCTTTAGACAGATAAGCTGAATGGTGGGCTTTAAATAATACAAACATACACATAGTTGACTTGTGTATGGGCTACTCTTGGATTCTTGTTATTGTACACTTGTGTTTAGTCCATATTTTGTTAAAAGCAAAACAAGGTGATAAATCACTTTTCATTGAAAAGAAAAGTGTAGAGCATGACCGAAGTGCTCATCCCCTGGGAGTTTCCACGTGGTGGCTGCGCAGTGTGGAGAGTGAGTGAAATCCCTCCATTGTGGTGAGGAGAATACTTCATGTCCCTCGTCCTTGCTCCCATTGAATTCCGCGAAAGGTGGATTTGACCAAAAGCGTTCTGGTTAAATTTGTAGAAATGTTGAAATTGGCTAAGGTTTTCATTTATGCTTGAATTTTTATAAAATGTTTAACCAAATGTACCTTTGCATTATTTAATTAAAATTGCTAAAAAAAACTATGTTTCATTATTTCAGTAAAATGCTCAGCTCCCTTTTTCAAATGCCCTTTATTTGCTACCAGTTCCAGTACACTCAGGTGATGGGCCGATTCAATCTTAGTGCACATGCTGTCGCATGGAGAATGACAAGCATCCATTTTCAATAACTATCTATATAAGAGTCTAGTCTGATGACCTACAAACTCTTTTCTGTAGAAATATACTATAAATCTGTACTTGTCCTTTCAGATTTTAAAAAGCCAAAAGAAAAGAAGAGTCCATGCCCTTTGGTAACTAAATTATTTCTGTACTGTAGTCTAATGCACATTAAGACCAGCAGTGAACAGTGTTCCCAGGATCCCACGGTAAACAGGGAAGCATCCTCCCGGTTGGTCTGCAAGCAGGTGGTGTTGAATAATACAGGCTAACCCCAAGATGATGATTGACTAGTGTTAAGTGGCAAAAGAAGAACAAAATACAAGCATTAAAATTGACACAAATGAAATTTAAATATTTCTTTTAAAAAGGGTTTATAGTTGCTTACTTTTTCCTTAAGAGATAATCAGAACACAAATTCATAGCAAACGTGATGGTTGTTTTCCTATTCCATATGATTATTACAGGTATATGCAGAACACCTTAACTTCACGTGGCCTGTTATGCATCTTCTCGTTAATCTCAATAGTATAGCTTTTGTGTTTACATTTTATAACATGCTCCTACTAGATATAAAAGTTTACATTAATGTTAACTTGAAAATATCATTGGTCAGAGACTAAATATATATGATAGAGATCATTGATCAAACCAAAAGAAATATTTTTAAAATATTTTTTAAAGTTTTGAATTTGTAGAAGGCACCAATGAATAACGTTCAGGAGTTTATAAATTCCTTGGTTTGTATCATACACTATCTAATGCATCCGTTATTCCACGATATGACACAGGAAGTATTAGGCCCTTTTGAAAGGTCCCGTTTCATGTATGCCATAAGTCAAATCAACAGTTACAGATTTGAAGAAGCTGAGAAGTATTAAGTAATATTTATTGGTTAGTTCCCCATTCACATGGAAGGTCAAATTAGCTCTAGTAATTCAACTTGATATGTTATTTTATGTTAATTGTAAATCAGTTGCATTTTTACTGCCATTTTTACCTATTGTATATAAAATGAATTGATCTTGGAATTATTTTCAGTAGAGAGATGGATTTTATAAGAAAATCTTAAATGGATGTTTTGCATTATTTTAATTTATTTTTCAAGTAATCTACAGATTATTCACAGCTAACTAGATATGCAGAATTAGAAAGCTTTGGAATGATTTTGAGTATAGGAAATAAACTTTTCAGAGTTTTCCTTTGTTTAGTCTGTAGATAAGAGACTGCAGTAATAATGAACCCAGGGAATTTATTGTAATTTGAGAGATGATCTCTCCCTTTTTTTCTTTCTCTCTTTTTAAATGCAAGAAGTAATAGTCACCAGCAGTTCAAGGAAAAGATGGTAGAGTTGGGGGAGGGGGGTAGTCAAAACATAAATTATTAGAAGGGTGGAAGATTTTCATGTGCTTCCTCCGTGTCCTCAACACTGTCCTTTGATGCATTTGCCCTTGACTAAAATCATTCCAGTGTGTGGTTAGCCGTCTGTCAGTAGGAAGTGAGTCCCTGGATGTACCACAAGGTCAGTCTATTTTACTTCTCAGGCGAAAACCCATATCCATTGCTTAGAAGAGTATTTTAAATCATACTAACTCTGACGAATATCTGTGCACTTGTCAGAATATACATCCATTTGAAGTTTTTGCATCATATAATCCTGGGTTTGCATTTCATTTGTATAAAACATTTCCAAACAAATGGTTATAGATAGAACTGAGCAATTACTAATTTGCTGGGTTTTTTAATGAAAGTGTAAAAATGTTGCTACTTCTGTTATTCTGTGTTGTCTTGCAATTCAACTACAGTACTTCAAAGAAAGCTTTTTTGTGTTCGTTGGTGTGTGCTTGGACCTTGTCTCTCTAGGTTCCTCTGCAGTGATTTCATGTTGATAACGTGAGTGGTTTTTTTTTAACAAGTCAGAAAGTGTTGCATACCTTAGTTTACAGGGTAAGTGGGGAGACGACAATGGAGTTCAAGCTTGTGCACTGAGGTCTAGCTCCCATATGTGTTTTGCTGAATTTCTCATTAACATTAGAAAAGCTATATCCAAAGGGAAATATTTTTGTGTGTGGCAAAGGTTTATTTTACAATTTTAACTTTTGGGATTTTGCTGTTTTTTATTTTGTTTCTGGTTTTTTGGGTGTCCCTCCCCCACCCTCCCCAAATAAAGAGCACTGAAATTTAAACTTGAAATTTTTCTGCACTTTTTTTAGGTAATGGAAACTTTTTATTATCATTTAATTCCACCTCAGTTCAAATCAAGAGACACATATGTGTAAAATACCAGAATCATGTGTATGCTGCCAGCTGACTTTAAACAATTAAACATCATCGTTTTAAAACCTTCAACAGGGTTTTGTATAAATTTCGAGGATTAAAAAAAAACAACAAAAAAACGAGTGAAATTATTTGCTGTGTGTGCCAGTGTTCTTGGTCTTAAATTATTGCAACACTTTCTGATTTGTTTTAAGACCATACAGCTAGATGTTATATTTATACATACTGCTAGAGAATATAATTTTAGTTATCAAATGGAATTTTTATAAATGTACTTTAATTTTAAAAAAATGGTGAACTTGTTAAGTTTAAGTCAAAGTACTTAAAAAGTATGTATATTATCCATACAAAGGCTATGCTTTATGCTTATAATAAGAAATATTGGTATCTCATATCGAGATACAATTAATTAAAGAAAAATCATGCATCATTCAAGTCTTCACACATAGTAAGAAAGGTATCATTGCTCTGGTTAAAAAACAAAAAATACCCTACTGAGCATCTTCAAATATTACTTTCTTTTGGGGGGAAATGCCCACAACAATAATCATAAGACCTTTCTCAATAGCTGTAGCTTGCTGTTGGATACCTATCTTAACTATTGTTTTCAGATAGATATATATATACATATATATTATATATTTACATAGTTTTCCAGGTATTTTCTTCTACCTTTTTTAAAAAATAAATTTCCAAAAATGAAAACAGAGTTTATGTATTTTTGTCAATGAAGGTTTTTATTTTGTAGTTTATAAAATTTGTTCATTATCAGTTTGATACTTGATTAATATTCCTAGACTTTTTAATCTATATTTAATTTGAAAAAGAACATTCCTATATCTTAAGCATCCTCCTTTTTCTTTTTCCTTTTAGTTTGTTTATTCTCTTAGATGGAAATTTATGCCCACAATTTTTTTTTTTTTCCATTTAAAAATGAATGTGAAGAGACTGTTTACAGTTTTTGTTGAACTTCTCATCTTATAAACTGCTATGGAAATAATTTTTCATTTGAATGCTAGTAACCTTACTACTACAGAAATTTTAAAGTTACTGTGGACAGAAAATAGTTGTTGCAAAAAAATAAAAGGAAATACTTTAGCTTACCTTTCTCAGCTGAATTCAATGGTTTAGTAACCCCCCCTCCCCCCCTCAGTTAACAGGGCTATGACGTTGCTTTCTTCAGTTCCTAATCCAATCTTAAATGATAAGGCACAATTTATTTACAAATTGAGTAAAGCAGTCTATGGCTACATGTAAAGTGCTCTCTTGACTTCAGTCTTTACATCAGAACATATCTTGAGTGTCCGTTTTGCAAATATTCCTCAATGAGGCTCAGAGTTAATATTTTAGTGTATAAGGTATAAATAAATCAGCATTCATTTAGTGTAGGTTGTTTGGCTCAAGCGTTACATGGATATAGGCTAATGGCAACAGAATCCTATTTATTAGGAAGGTTCCTATTTTATTTGTACTTTTCCTTTTTATTTTGTGTTGTCTAAGCTTTTGCTTCAGCTGAAGATGTACCGAGTTGAAAACAGACTCAACATATCAATAGAAAGCCATGCAAAGAGGGTAAATTACGTTTTTAATTTGATTTGATTTGTAAATAAACAGTACTGTGATACTTTAGGTGTGGCCTCTGCTCAATATAGTAGTTAGAACCAGAAAAACATTTTGCTTTCTAGTTATGCTATGAATTCAATGTAAATGCATTGCCAAAAGACAACATGAAGAAGAGCAAGATTCCGTTCTCACATTGTCCATTCAGGGGCAAGCATGCGGGGCTAGAACTGGAGCTTGTGTAAACCTTCAACTGTACCTGCAGGTGCTTTTTCAGTTGCTGTACTTTGTTTTCTGTTCTTTGTTTGTTTGTTTGTTTGTTTTTAATCTCGCTCAGTCCCAGTAACTATCTCAAAGGTAATTGCTGGAATGTGCATTTTAAAAGCAGTAACTAATTCATCTCTGTGTGCTGTTTGATTGAAAACTAAAAGCACGATTGGCAACACTAAAAATGTGACACTTTGTAGTTATTTTGCATTCCTGACTTTACAAATTGTCATCACAGGGAAAAAAAAAAAGGTTTAAAATTAGGTAATGAAATATTTTTGTAAATAAATACCTTTAAGCTGGTATTTTAAAAGAATGTATTATAAATTCGTGTTTCTGAAAAATGTTCATATATGTGTATATGAATGTCTTTATGCTGAAGGGCTCTGATTGGGCAAAATAAAATACTCTAATCTCTCCTGAAACTAATCAAGCCCATTTTTCTGGAAAATTCGTTTTAATTTTTTCTCTGAAATGTGGCAGTAACTCACTAGTTTAAGCAACGAATAGATAAAATCAATGTCTGTGTTTGCAAAGGCAAAGCCTGGCTAATTAGACCATTCAAGTAAAGAAAACCATATTTTTCTTCACTGTCTGGAATTTGGGGGGAAAGTCACCCTGCTTTGAGTGGGGAACCAAGGAACAGGGGTAGGGGCAGGGGCATAGAAGCTAGCTATAGGCTTCAACATGTACACACATACATGTTCCTCAGCCTTGACGTTCTGGGAACATCAAGCTGGGCTTCTTGGT